GCATCACAGTCTATAGAGATAGCAACAATTATATCGTGCGACTGGATAAAACTGTCCTCTTAAGTTGTCATGCCTGTGGAAGGTTTCCCGCTACATTGTTCTTGGCCCAATATTAAAATCTATGACAACTTTGCAGGAAAATGTATGCGGTTTATTCTTAGTCTACGCACTGCTAAACCTCCAACCATACACCAATTTGGCTTGCCTCCGTATCGTCCCTGAAGACATGAATGCTATTAACCACATTGAAGCTGTAGCTCGTAGAGACAAACGCCTAGATGTATTATATATTCTTGGTTCTGTGCTGGTAAAGGGACCAGTACAATATCATGCAGATAATAGAGAAAGAGGAATGGATGGTGCTATTAAGAAATATTTGGAAGGTGAGTTTTATGTGGTTTCAAGAATATTGATGACAGCGGTGGCATAACAACATGGACTGTGGCGGTTGTACTTGGTAACATTTTAGTGTCCATTGGTAGCCATACACCCTTAGGATAGTCTAAGTTTATTATAATATACAGTAAACATTCCTATTTTGGACATTTTTAAAATTATTATTTGGCTTTGAATATGCTCTTAACGAGATCACATCTGCGTATTTGTGGATCTTCTTCTTCTTCTTTTAAATGTTATGGCTCCATCGAAATAATCAATGATTTTGCCAATGTCAAGTAAAAATAAGTATGTACGGTAGTTTAATATTATTATAAAAATTATGCAAAAAAAAATGGCGATTGCGCCAATGTCCTGTGAGAATTATTTGTGGATCTTGGTTTTGGTTTTGATGCAAAATTGAGTGTCACAAAAAAGACATTTGAGATTCTATTCTCAATTTTCGAATTTCAGACGGCTGCATGACCATAGACAATCTCGGCGTGCGCCCAAAAGGAGTGTTCTATAGACAGAATCCCGTATTAGATACTCTGCGGGACATGAAGAATGCTTACCGAAAGTACGACGCTATCAAATCGTTGATTAAAACAAGTAAGTTCTACAGCTGGAACACAGTCATTTACAGTAAAATTATTTTCTATTTCGGACGGAGTAAAATGACATTTGCAGGGTTGCCAGTTTTCGTAAAATTTTAAATAGTCATGTAGTTGTTGTCGACAATTTTATCGATAGATTGTTAAAGAAGGTAAAAATTTTAGCAAAAATGCCTGAATTGTGATGAAACTGTCGGTCTGTGTTGCAATGAACTGTCATTTTACTCCACCTTCAAAAGAGACAGACTATAGATAGGATATTTTGCTTCGTGGAGACATTATTTTTAAAAGTAAGTACGACGGTGGCGCTGCGGCCGACAAGCACCAGTGATAGACATCTTTTTTCATTTCTACTAAGATTTACGAAAAAATTTTGTATCATAATAGCCCGTTTGTTATTGGTAAGTATCAATTACTGGGTGTTAATTATTGGTGTGTGTTGATCACTGGTTAGTTAATTGGTGGGTTTTTGGTGTTTGTTACTGGAGATTTAGAGGAATTTTACTGTAGGTTTTTTTAGTAATAATTATAATAATTTTTAATACAAAGATCGAACACTTAAAAAGAATCCTTCGATCCGGCTGGATTCAAACCAGCGTCTTCCAGCAAACCGTGCCAGACGCTATGCCAAGAAAGCCATGGAACGAACTAGCGGACCTTACGAATTTTTCTATATGCTTGTTGCAGATCTTTGATCTTACAAATAAATATATCTCTCTACCTCTCTCTTTGTTATTGGTTTTATCGACTTTTGCCGTAACGCCATCTGTGACAAATCTTTTTCTTCACTCAGCCAGATACCTTTACAGTTAGCAGCAACTGCCTAGAGATGTCGCTTTAATAATAATTGTCATTTTTAAGTTTATTAAATGTCACAATGTTTGACCAGCATGATATTCAATTATTTTTGTGAATGATGGTGTAATAATGGATGGTGGAGTAATTTCACTAATTTGTTAAATTTATTAATTTGAAGATCGAACACTTAAACATACTACATAATAAAGCAAGTAACTAATTACTATTGATATGTTTAAAAACAAAAAGTTATTTCAAATTTAAAGACACACTTCCCTTAAAGTGTCGATCATAGGTACCATCACCCTAATATTACTTTCAAAGACTTTTAAACTGTGGCTTGCCTCATCTGGGAATCGAACTGACTTGTTCATCTTCTTTGTTCTTGGTTTTTACACTTTTTTTGCCAATAAAATAAACAACTTAATATTTTATTTCAGTAGGTGCGGACATTAATTACGTTAAAATCAAAGACGCGGAGGACCTGGAAGCTTCGCACAAACAACTTATTAACGGAATCAGAGAGCCAGGTAAACGAAAGTAGACTATATTCCAACTAATTTTATGATTAGAATTAATATACATTCCGTCTGCTGTCTGCAGCTCGTAGTAGATAACGACCAGCTAAAACTTTGTATATTGCAGCTGCCGTGCCAACAGCAGTGGTACCAGAGGAGCGTTACCAATCGGTGAGGGAGATAAAAGCCAAGGCTATGAAAAATACCGTCAATTCCATCAAACATAGGACTGGCGTTCAAGAGCGGAGGTGCGTATTGTTTATTTGCGTGGGTGGGTGGGATTTGGGTTACACTTTATATAGATTATGACTTCACACGTTTTCGAAGTTCTCACTGGAGAACATTGAAAAAAGTTTTAATATAAAAATAAAATTATGTATATGTTCTATGTCTACAAGTCGACCTTGGCATAAATATCCCAGTCAGAATGAGGATGTTCTATAAAATAGACCAAGCCAAAAGAACCAATAAATAACGGGTGTGTTTGAAGAGACTGTATTTATAATGTTATTTATTGTTTACAGCAAAAACGAGCCTGCCAGTCCTCAGAAACCAGACATTCGTTCCAAACCGGGAAAAGTGAAATCCGGCAGTCCTAAAAAACCTCTAACGACTAACTCTCCACGAAAACCTAAAATGCAGCAAAAATATTCACCAAAAGCTAAAAAACAAAAAAAGCAGAAAAATGTACGGAAACGTAAATATTACAGTTCTAGTGATAGTGACAGTGACGTCACAATCAAACTTGATGATGGTGACTTAACTGATGACGATGGAAATGATTTGGACTTGGATGAATATATCGAAAGACTTCAAAGGAAGGAAAAAGCCCAAAAGGATGAAGTATCTGAAGAGAAAGTTAATAAGGAAGAACTTGTTACGCAAGAACTTGATACACAAAAAGTTGATACGCAAGAACTTAATATGGAAGAACTTAATATGCAATTGGATACTTTACCAATTTACATAAGATCAGCTGGTGACGAAGACATTGAGATTGAAATAATTGATGAACATGTAAATAGTAGTAGTGGTGAAAATAGGACTAAAAGAAAGAAAAAGGTTGCTCAAGCCAAAGTTATGTCATTACCTGATATTAGCTTCCAAAATATTGATGATACTGTACCTACAGAAAATATCAGTGAACAAATTGGACTTTCTAGCGCACCTTTGGCAAATGTTTCAAAAATAACGAAAAATGATGACGCAGTTTTTAAAAAACCTAGCAGTGTTATCAATCCTAAACTTAAAGCAAAAACTATACATAATGAACCTCAACCTAGTACTTCAAAAGAAACTATGGAATTAATTAAGAAACGTAACGATATTACTCCAAATGTTAAAAATAATAGTCCACGGAAAGCATACAAGAATACTGTCACTCCTGGTAGCGTAACGATATCTCAATCCATAGATACGAGTCCAGAAAAGAACATTGATACCCCTGCTAGGGTAAACAGGTCTCGATCTAAAGATATGAGTCCAGAAGAAAACACTGATACTCCTGCTATAGTAACAAGATCTCGATCCAAAGATTTGAGTCCAGAATCAAATTCCAATGAACCAAAAGTTAAGTCTAAAGATACTATTTCTATTAGGAAAGAGATTATACCTGGAATTAAAAATACAAAATCTAAAATATTTCAAATGGCGGATACTGATAGTATACCAAACAAGGAAATTCCAGAATTGGATAAATATAAAAAGAAAGCTAAAGCTGATGAAGATGGCTGTATTATACAATTACCTGAGGATATTCCAAGAAATAGAAAACCACAATTTAGTTCTACTACACCAATACATATCGGAGATGTTGACATGATTGAAAAATATCTACCCATACATGGTAGAACTAAAAGGGTACTGTGGAATAAACAAGATCCAACTGTAGGCAAAAGTTTTCGAGGCACCAGCTTAACTATAAGCGTAGGATCTATAAGTTCAATCGATAGTATGACTACAGTCTTCCATGAGACTGACGAAAATTTTGATTATAAAGTTAATAACAAAAGTCCGAATGCAAAAGAACATGCAGATAAAAGTTCACATGACCTTCATGCTACTACAGGTGATAAAAATCGCATTAAATCCGTTGAGAGAACACAAATGAGTTTGCCGGATGTTAATTGTACCACAATTGATGAACGGCATAGCGAAAGTAATGAAAACTCGGAAACAAGTTTGCCTGATTTAAATTCCATTTCACCGAATATAGGTAACATGGCAGCTAGAAAAAAAATCCAAATGACTTTACCAGCTTCATCCAGCCATTCCAAAGCTAGCAAAAATAATATTAAAGCTAAAACAAAGACAAAAATGGGTTTGCCTGATCTCAATTCTACAACAGTTGAACATTTTCATAATAAAAATAATATGACACTGAATGAAAAGACAGGAATTAATTTGACAGAGTTTACTTCACTGGACAAAAGTAGGAAAGATAATGAGAATATAGCAATGAGTTTACCTGATTTAAATTTTAGTATGGTCGGCTTAAGTAAAGAAATTAGTCTGCCTGATCTAAATTTGACAACTACAGATTGTAATAAAAATATGCCTACAAAGAGACTCGCGAAAACTCCTACAAATACAAAAGTTCCAGCCAAAAAATATAAATCAGCCAGTACCACCGTACAGGCAGTTCATTGTCGTGATATAAATACTCCTGACCGCAATAAAACACGAACCAGATTAGTTTCTTCAGACAAAAGTCTTGAAATGTCAAATTTAGATGCCGTAGAAGGTATGGTGCGGGTCACAAGATCCTCAAAAGTGAGTTCCGAAAATAAGATAAGCAATAACGAGGTTTTTGATAAATCTAAAAGCAACCTCACGTTAACGCCGATACTGAAAAAGCCTGAAAAAAGGCAGCAAAAACAAATACATCGCAAGTCGAAATTTAAGAAGATGGGAATTGTTGAAATTGCCGATCTCGATACTGACCGAACCGCCTGATATTACTGACTCTAAACATTATAAGTTACGTTTGGTAGAAAAAAGAACATAGGGAATCACCACATTATTATCGTCGAATCGGCTTAAGCTGGTCCAAAAAATCTTCATATAATAAGAGTATAATAGTCGTTATACGTTTCGCTACCGGTCGGACTGCACCGACGCAAAACTTTTACAATTTCTGACCGTATATAAGTAAAATTACTCCATTAAAAAGCGCAATATTTGTGTTCCATATACGTCCTGCTTCTGGGCACGAGCTTTATATGGTTTAATTTAATGTTATTACTCATGATTGTTAAAAATAAACATCGTGGAATACATTGATGTTGTAAATATACTATAGTTCATTTAAACGTGTATTTGTATTGTATTATATAAGAACCTAATTTATTCGCAGACACATTAGGACCATAAAACAGGACATAACACTACATTCCTACGTTATTATCTAATAAATTACGAGATTTGGATAAATGTCGACCGTAACATCATGAAAATAAGATCATTGAGCCTCTGAGACTTTAGATTAAAGAAAAGAAAACTAAAAACAGAGAAGACGCCTTCTCTGTTTAATTGAATAACGCTTTTAAGCTGAAATTAATTAGATTCATATTTTGCAAAAAGTAATTGTCAAACTTTTGTAAAATAGTAGTATGAAGCATATTTTACCTGTCACCATGTATCAAGACACTTAACTCTCTTTCAACAGTCTGTATCAACGCGCTCTAGGTCATAAGGGATGATATTCGTGTCATCTCGTACCTTCTCATTAGGATTTTGTGATTTTAAATCGGTTGGCTTGTTAACAAAAGAAGTTGTAGTATACGAGTATGCGTTAGGTTTAATTAACTGTAAAAGGCTGTATGGTCAGACACGGTAATTGTAAAAACGAGTATTTGGCTATTATTTTATTTATTTTTGGAAGATTTATAGCTTTTTAACAATAAATATATGTTAAGTAACAGCTGAAAGTGCTAATTACAAATCTCCACGAGCAGAAGTATCCAAAATACTTTTCATTTATGTACACGTAAGGGAGTCACACGGGTCACACCAGGAGGTCTACTCCTGGTTTCCGTCTGACGTCCAAAACAATTACTGTCAAATAAGTAATACATTGTCGTTTGATTTGGTCGAGTAATTATACTTGTTAGACAGCAATTATTTTGGACGGAGATCGAGACCTTCTCACCACACTTATCGACACTAAGTCACAGAAAAAAACAGTTCATGTAATAAAAGTGAAAAAGAAACCTGATGGACATAAAGCTTTTTTGACCAGCTCAAGCCATTTCTGCGATAAGTGTGGTGACTCCCTTAAAAACAGTATACTTAATATACAGCAAACAGAGGCTGAAAAGAAACGGTTATTAGTATCTGTTACACTTTGGTGGTGCTATACAGTGTAGCTTATAACATAGCTAAGGACCGTTTTGGTAAAAAGACACAGAACTCCACCCCCACTACTGATTACAACTATTAACAGCAGTAGGTATATTTGTGAACTGTGTTGCCATAAATAATCAATAGGCTATTGGAAACACGACCAAATAATTAAAAAAAATATGAAGAAGCAGAATCTGGCTTTATCCCTTCCTGTCCTAGAGACACACTGTGTGCCAAAATCTCATTGGTAATTTTTTTAATTTATATTTTTTTTAAAAAAAGCACGTCGATGGCGCTGCCTTCGTCATTTGAATTCGCTTGCCGAAGAAGCGGCAGTCAGTTCGATGTAAACAGCGATCCAATGAAGCGCCTTGCTTCCTCTTAACGTCTACGGCAAAGGAATGAAATACGCTATTGTGTTCCCCGAAAGCTATAAATTTGGGGCTATTCAACGTTATGAGTAAATTGGCGTTTTTTAAACAAATGCTTCACATAAACACACTCACACATCGCTTCATCACATCGCTTGACATAAATGCTTGCCTTTGTCGAACACGTCACCTAACGTGAGCGAGGACGAAATTAAATGATATTTGTCTCCAAATGTCAGACTGACAAGGTCCCGGCTTATAATGTATTTGAAATTATCAATTCCGAAAGCAGATTCATCACTATCTTTAATATAAGTAGGTATGTAAATAAAGACCTTTGTGACCATTTCCTGTGATGATGGCTTAAGTTCAGGTAGCCACATGAAATTATTGATATTTAGAAAAATATCTCATTCATGGTGCATTTGACCTAAGGCTTAGTAGCCAGTTAGCAATAATCTAAATAATAAAAATAATAAAGATGGATCATACGCAGAACGACAAAAACTAGAGTCGAGAACACGCAAAATTAAAGCTGTGACAAATCGCGTCATTGCGCGAGTAGCGTTACACCTGCCGAAATTAAATGGTGTAATTATCTTTGAACAAATATAGAAGAGAGAACAGAGAAGGAGCAGAAGCATAGACATAGTCATCGAGTGGAGTAGATATTTTCTGTTTTTGTCGGCCTGCGATTAAGCCATAATTCTAGACACACAATAAAACTATACAGTAACTTTTATATGAAAATGTACTGTACTGCATCTAGCTCTACAGGGCTACGCCTCGTACACTTTTTAAGCTACTTCAAATTAGATGCTAATAGAAGCTCTGCAATGGCGCGGCAGCCACGCAGCGTGACTGTAAAAAGTGGCACAATGCTTCTAGATATTGTATGAAAATTAACGCTTCTATAAGCGTTTAATTTGAAGTCGCACTTAATTAGAGAAATGTAAACTTAGATTTGATACGTTTGTAGAATTAGAACCATAAGTCTGATAATAGTATTATTTCTAGTCCCTAGAATCATTAATATAAGGTTTCATAAACAGCGTACAAATAAACAATGATTTCTACTGTAAACTGTACTCTTAAATAGTTGAAAAATTGTTTTGTAATTGTACGCAAGTTTACAAAACGGTGTTGTTTTTTTGTTGTAGTCAGATTTAACCCTTAACTACATTCGCTATTTAGACTAACGTTAATAACTTTGTGGGGTAGTTTTCGACCCTAAAAATAAATACGTCTAAAAACGTAGGTTTATGTTTTATTCTTTTTGTTTATTAAACAATAAATAATAAAAAGACTTCTATTCATAAATAATACTCGTTATTCAAAATTAACCAAAAAAATTACCAACAATTAAGGCACTTATCGAAACAGTAAACGTTTGTCTCACAAAGATAATTTGTTTTTTTGTAGTTGACTTAAACAACAATTAAACAAGTCTTTGGAGATCAAATAAAGATCATTTCAGAAACTTGTAAAGGAAAAACAAAACTGGTACTTTGTATAAAAATAATGATAATAAATATTTATTATTTTCCACTATAATTGTAAGTCAATGTTTTCCACACATATTTTTTTCCCAAAAGAATCAGCTAGCGTCTTAGGTTTTATACACTCGTATATATCTCAACAATGACAACTTGTAAGGATTTTTTTCCATCTAAGTAACCCGATTATCTTACTCTGTCTTGATCTTTTTCATCTGTAGTCCTTCTGCTTCTTCTTCGTCTCCTTAAACTTCTAGTTCACTGGCGGTATCATGTACTGACCTTTCTGGAATGCTGTCGCTAAATTCGATGGCATCTTCAAAAACATCCAATGTATTCGCCAAATCTAAATCTTTACTACCTAGCAATATCTATCCTATTTGATTTCCGTTTAAATGGCGATTTATTTTGTCTAAAACAAATAAAAACAATGTATAATGACGGATAAAAAAGTTACGTAAATGACTTCGTGGGATAAATTTTGACCCCAATGATACATACCTACGAAAATACTGGCTGCCACTAAACACGCGTCCGCACACTGTAAAAGCACAGTCGGCAATATGTGTTGTTTTATACTTTTTATTTCCTGCATTTTTTAATCAGCTTTTAGGAATACAGAGCTGATTTTTTTTCATATGATAAATAATAACATTCCTGATAACTTATTCTTACATAAGTTCTTGAAAAGCTGATTGTTTCAGAGAAAAATTTTAGTTTTTTTTTTGTTAGGAGAAATAAACATTTTATTTTGATCTCGAAATGTAGGAAAATGTAATGTGGTTTACTTACAGTATAGGTCCAATCATTCTCTATCAAAAAAAAAATCCATCTGCAGGTACTTTCGGTTTTACGAGTAAAAAGGTGGCAAATTTTTAGATTTGTTATTTATTTTTTAACACAATACACTAGTTTCTAGCAATTTTTCCACACCTTTACTTACAAAGCCGCAAGTACATGCAGACGGATTATTTTTTTCTACATAGAAAAGATTGGAACTACACTGTAAGTAACGGTTACCTATCAGTAGTTCGAAATGACATTTTCCAGAAATAACGTTTGGTCGAAAGTTCATAACCTAGAAAGTAATTTTGAGAGGAAAATGTTATTTCTTTTAAACCTAACTTAAACGAACCTAATCGTGTCTATGCGATAAACATTCAACATATACTGAAAGAACAACTGTTTCGTTATAAATCGGTTTTCGGTGTAATGAAAATTCGAACAAACGTTATTTCGGACAAAACAAATTTCGACTTTGTGGTAGGTTACCGTAAGTAATCCACGCACATTACATTTTCGTATATTTTAAGATAAAAAATTAAATGTATATTTCTCCATACAAAAAAAAAATTTTTCTCCGAAACTATCACCTTTTCAAGAACTTGTACAAGAATAAAAGTTGTTAGGAATGTTATTATCTACGACATTATCTTTTAGATTTGTTCGAGTATTACTTATTTGACAGTAATTGTTTCGGACGGGTGTTGGACTGAGAACGGGAGTAGACCCCCAGCAGTCGCTCACTGACGCTGCGCTGGCGTTGTTCCGCCGCCGCACGGACGTCGTGTTGACACTGTAGATACGTTGGCAAGATGCTGACGCTCGAAAGACGCACTAAAAAAAATCTCTTCAATACCTCTACCAAAATGAAATCGCTGGCGATCGCTTATAATATTTCTATGACAAATAGTTCTTCTAGCTGTAGGCGTTGTACAATTTGCCACACAAATATAGTGTAGTG